TTTCTCGATTATTATCGGCTGTAGACGAAAAATTATGAGAATAAAAAATGTTTATTTAGATATATTCTACTTGAAACAAGCGTTAAAAACATACAATAATAGATTTTTATTATTATTTTAATTTTCTGTCCTGTTTCCATAGTGCCCCTTTTTTTAAATCCAATCAATACAGCTATCAACCACACTGCTACAACAACAACCAATACAAAAGTAAAAACGAAACAACTTACTTTCATTAATGAAATTATGCTTAGTACGCGGTCGTGCATCACAATGTACATAATTATTTACTTTGTATCTATGAGGAGCGCGAAAGAATAATAAAATAATTACTTATATAGTATAGGCACTAAGGGCAACAAGTGACTGTATTTTTAATTGAAGTAATTAAGTCGTACCTTTTTTTTTGCCACAGATATACCGAAAAGATAAACTAAGCGTGTGGCAAGTGGACGGCCGTAAGCATAAGCAATACTGCCAGCAGCTCTGTTTGCTGGCCAAGTTCTTCCTTGACCACAAGACTCTGTACTACGATGTGGAGCCATTCCTCTTCTACGTCATGACCAACGCTGATGACGAAGGCTGCCATATTGTTGGCTATTTTAGTAAGGTGAGTGCTTTAGTGCCAGTCAAGCGGGCATAGTACCCGGAGACAATAATTTATTGACAAAAACACTGGCTTTATTATATATATATATTGCGAAACTTAGTGCTTCTTAAGTATGAGATGATTCCGCTATGAAATCGACTTTGCAAGTGCGTTGAGAATATAATCTAAACACAAAGAATTCTACCATAAAGGTAGCATAAATATTGTTTACTTTGTTTGAACGGTTCGAGACAACTTGTCCTCAGGATTCGTTTATTTCAAATGCTCGGGCTATGGCATGTGTCTCAATACTTGATCTCTTCTATATACAAAATATTAGTACGTTTTAATCTATATTGGAAACATAGACAAGGAAATATTATTATGGCCAGTAGAGACGAGTGCAAGGTGACGCAGAGATAATTATGTGATTTCTATAGTACCATGTTAGGGTTGACAATGATAATTTGCTAAGACTATTAGAAAATTTAAAACTATTAGAAATTAAACAAAAAAAAATTGAAAAATGAATTCGCTAATTTTTTATGTAACTTATTGTAACACACTACCTACAACACACTAACTACAAGTAGCACAGAGCAAGCAAAACAAGATTTATAAATGTGAGTATAAAATAAAATGTAGGATAGAATTTTTTTGGAGTGCAAATATGGTAGTCGTACGTGTAATATTATCTATGGTGGTGTTTCGTATCATCATTAAGGGTCGTATTCTAGAACTCTACTCAATGCTCAAGTCAGGACTTGAGTATGATTCAAAGCACTAGAAATCATACTCAAGTTCTTGTGCCATTAGGGTCGTATTTCCAGTGCTTGAAATCATACTCGAGTCTGCTCAAATCCTGACTTGAGCATTGAGTAGAGTTCTGGAATACGACCCTAAGTCTTATTTTATTTAATTTAAATTGATTTTCAATTTTCTGTTTATCGTAATATTCTTTTTTGTTACAAGAAACGAAAGTAAACCTTATATCGCTATAATATGGTCAATTCTTTTTTGAAGAACTGAGTAAACAACACGAATTCGTCGTCGTTCAGCTATTAACCGCTAGATGGCAGCACATTGATTGAAATTTCAACAAAATCATAGCGTAACTTGCAGTAATAGGTATTGATGGTATTGAACTTTCAACGCTATGCCAAAAGGGTAAAGTTTAAATTTATATTAACAGTCCAGAATTTGTTATTTCTTAAATTTGAAACTACGACCAATCATTATCAAGATTTCATAGTGTTTCAATTTATAAACGTGTGAGTTTTGGCGACAGCGGTTCTGATAGTAATCGAGGTTTAAGGCATTTCAATTGTTTTTTTTCCGTGTTTCCAGCAATAATATGTGAAATGGAAAGCGCGTAATACATAAATCAATTAATCAATTATGTGTATGTTTATTTTTTGCCCATATTTTCAATTGTCAGCGTTGCAGCCGACGGTGCGTTTTCTCATCTTTGCTTTCTCGAAACAACTCGAACATTCTAGAACTATGGGGTTTCAACAAGTAAATAGAAAATTTAAGTTCTTTTACAGGATAGCCCTGCTATCGCGTTCCATAGAAACGAAGTTTAATACGACGATGACGATTAAGAAACTAATTTCTTAGGCCCTGATACCTTTACTTTCCTTCAAAACATTTCACAACAAATTGACTAGATGGCGCCTATTGTTCTGTCAGGGTATCATATAAAAGGGTGGTCTCCGGGGATAAATTCGTTACTCTAGAACTCATATTACTCAGAATTTCCTAGTCTGGCAGTTGGTAACACTGATTTTTATTTATGTTATAAACCATCGAATTATATTTTTTTCCCGATATTTTTAATTTAATTACATAAAATAATTAAAATTAAAAACCTTATTTTTTATTATTATTTTTTATAATACCATGCGACAGGACGAACAAGTCGTGCACCTGATAGTAAGCTGTCGCGCGCCTGTCCATAATAGTTGCAGTACTACTCAGAGCTTTAAATCGTAAAGATCTGAGAGATCTGAGGGGCACTGTCACTGCGCCCGTCATCCTGAGACATAAGTTGACAAGTCTCATGTCCCTGTAATTTCACCAGCACCCTTAGGCTCAACTCATACTGGCGCAGAGTCGTAATGTTTTTCGCCTATGGCATATTCATACATTTCTATTTTCCCATTATTAAGGTACAAATGTGTGTTATGCAAATACGGAATCGCGCGTCGACGCGCACCTTCGCCTTTTTATAGTTGAAAACGACGCGATGTGACGCTTCGACTCTGCGCCAGTGTGAGTTGCGCCTAACCTTTCAAAACCGAAAAACAGTAATGCTGACATTACTGCTTGGCGATAGAAATATGTAAGGTGGCAGTATTTCCCTGGACGAACTCTTTCACAAGGAGCTCTACAGCTACTAATGTTGTTGTTGTTTTGTTACCATGATATTCATATATTTTTTGTGGAAATACCCCACTAGTTTGTCTTATTATTGATACAAGGATCGACCTAAACAAAGAAAAGTTGCTTGGATCTGATTAGTCTCGAACAAATGTCTGTTGCCATGCCATGGTCACCGCTTTTGACTCGAATTTTTCTTTGCGTTGTTCGATTTTTGAATCAATAATAATAACACTGATACTCCGTGTAGTACCCCACATATGTAAAATTAATTACAAAAGCTAGACTTCGTGGCTAAAGCAAAAATAAAAAAATAACAAATTATATCGTAAATGATGTAGTAAATAAGACATGATGTATATAAATAAATCAAAGCGCGGTTGTACGCGCCAGTCATACTCCACCATTGAAGGCGTCGCGTCAGCTGTGGGGTCAACGACCGACACACCCTAAATGCAACCCACCTCCCTCTTCCTGGTTGGTGTACGCCAGTACTTTAGGCTTTATGTAAGTGTTGAAGTAGATACAATTTCAGTGTAGTATGCAGTTAGATCTTTTGTGTAAAATTTGTTTTTAGGAAAAGTAATTTTACTGCATTTATCAATTTAATGATAAGTAAGGTAATTCGTTTGTATGACTAAACTTGAGGGTAACTAGTTATTTATAACTTCTTTCAATATTTTTACACCGAACACCTGCAATTGTATTTTACCTTTAACCGACGAATTATAATATTTTCAACTCTGTTCAACAAATTACCCTATGAACTTAACAATCATCTATGATACGATATTGTTTTTTAACTCTATCAAAATATGGTCTGATTTAAAAAACAAGGGTTGAACACAGACAATGCTTACTATTGTCTACGCGTGTCGTAGCCCGTAGCACTCGAGTCGCGTAAACTGCGTGACGTGGCTCGTAGACCGTCTACGTCGTAGTAGCTAGAGTAGTTCCGTCTTAGATAAATGAATGTTGTCTTTGAGTAAGTGGTTCTTTCTTCTTTTTGTTGCGTTTTGTTTTTAATTACATGTCTCGCACGAGTTGTAAGCTCGTTGTATTTTCATTGTTTCTGGAAATTGTTACTCTAATTCATAGACCGTGATTCGATAGGAGGCTTATGCCCGTGAAACGACCGTAAACATGACGCATTCTTTAGTTTCGATTGTTCATACATTAGTTACCACAGAAACGATAGCCGTTATAATGACAGTAAGGCTAAGTCTAGTATAGTGAGCCGAAATAATAATAATCGATTTCCATAACTCCAGTATATAGAGTACTGTAAACAAAGTATACAAATTCTCAGGGTATACATACATTTTTGGTAAAATTACAGGTACATATGTGTGTGTTGAGAAGTCTTGTCAACTTATGTCTCAGGGTGACAGGCGCAGTGGCAGTGCCCCTCAGATCTTTGCGATTTAAAGCTCTGAGTGGCACGGCAGATGTGTAGCTTACCATCAGGCGCATGACTTGTTCACTTGATATTATAAAAAAGGTATACATAAAAATGTAGCAGTAGCGTAGGAACTTTAAGTACGAGCAACCTTCTAGTAGTACAGTAATGTGTATACATTACTGTACTAAAAAATAAAAATAACAATAGAGTAACGAAAATAGTATAACTCTATATAACTCTATTTTTATACATTATGCAAAGTGTGATTTATGGTAAATCATATTATGACAATAATGGTAATCGTTAGTGACATACAGTAATTAAAGAAATAAACAAGATCCGGGCCGTTTTGTAATAATTGTATATACCTGTCTCCTTCACCTTTACTACGCATCAGGTTTGCCATACATTACTGTTATTGTTTATTTTTAGTAGCAGTAGAGCTCGTTATGAAAGAGTTCGCCTAGGGAGGTACTGCCACGTTACCTATTTCTGCTGCCAAGCAGTAATGTGAGCATTACTGGGTGCTGGTGATTTTACAGGCAAATGATACTTGTCAACTTATGTCTCAGGGTGACGGATGCAGTGGCAGTACCCCCCAAATCTGTAGGAGTTAAAGCTCGGACTGGCACTGCAACTGTTATGGGCACGCGTGTCGCTTACCATCAGGTGCGTGACTTGGTCGTCTCGTTACTTGGTATCATAAAAAAAAATGTCTTTCCACACCAAGTCCATCCACCTTTTCTCACATTATTATTCACATATTTTGCAAAATTGTGAACATTAAATAGGATATTCTGTTCATATACTTGACATAGGATACAACAAATACAGATAAAATACAATGGCTGGCAATTATATGTAAGTCTAGGTTCTTCAACACAGTGTAAAATCTGTGAACGAGAGGTACATCCGTAAATACGTATACGTTAACCGTCAGGACAGCGGGGTCGTCGACCTCGTGCATCCGGGTACTCTATTTATTATAGCCTGTGTACTTTGATCTAGGTGTAGCTGTAAAAATACAAAAAGGAAATACTATACTACGTATTGTAAAGTAGCAACGTCAGGACTTTATATGCTGAAAAGGATTTATTTCTAATAATTATAATAATAATAATATTTTTATTAAAACTAAGTGATGGGACGAACAAGTCGTGGGCCTGGTGGTATGCGATACGCCTGTCCATAACAGTTGCACTACTCAGAGCTTTTAATCACGAAAATCTGAGGGGCACTGCCACTGCGCCTGTCACCCTGAAATAAGTGGACAAGTCTCATGTGCCTGTAATTTCACCAGTACCCATACCCTTCAAAACCGGAACGCAGTAATGCTGATATTACGGCTTGGCGGCAGGAATTAGTAAGGTAGCAGTACTTTCCTGGACGAACTATTTCACAAGGAACTCTACTGCTACTAAAATTTTTGTTGTTGTTGCTACTGCCTGCCACTGAACCATAGCTACCATTAAAAAAGTGTAACTTTTGAATGAAAAGCCCGTTTGCTAAATAGAACGAAATCACGTTGGTGATAGTAAATGTAGAGAATTTTCATATATCATAGAAACTAGAGAGAAACCTTGGATTTAAAATTGATAAATTTCTCCTAAATATAAGGACATTAATAAAAATTAAAGTTTAAAGCAGGAAACGTGGCGGCGAATAAATTTTCTTATTTTGATTGCAAATCAAAACAAGAAAATTCAATCGTAAGAACATGCTCAAAGAAAGAGCTGAGTAATCGCTGACAAAAACGCAGTCGTCGAGACGATCAGAGACCAGACGTCGCGTCGCATGAGCAATGGATATTTCACCTAAACTTACTACTTAAACTACGTCCAATGTAATAAGACCTATGATTTTCCTCTTATTGAATGAAGGCTATGCTCCCTCTGTTGATCATGTCTATGATGATGGTAAAAATACTAGCCGGTCATTCTCAGGACGTTAAATTAAAAGTTATAAGTTATTAGTAGATCAGTGCTTTAATGGTAACACTGGCAAAAGTTGGACAGATAATTAGTAGACACATTTGTTTAAATGACAAGAAAGGATATTACTTGCACAAGGTCGATAGGATTTAATTACAAGTCAATCGGTTTTTGTCAGGACGTGGTAGGCCAATTCAAATGGTCAAATTTCTATTATCTTTTTCTTTTTTTTTATAATACTAAGTGGCGGGGTTTCAGGATCCATTCCAACTATCGACATTGCATGGTAAGCACTTGTTTTCAATTCACATTTAAAGTTACTCAATCATTGATCTCATTCGTTTGTATATAGGTCCTTTGAATAGAAATAACCAAGTGAACGCAACCAACTCTTAAATCAATATTCAGAGGCCACACTAAAGCGGTCGTGGTGTAAACAGCCAAATCCAGACGAACTACGCCCTGTCTACAGCATCAGGTCGACGAACTGGGAGGAACGCGCCCCCCACTTCCCAAATCGTTAAAAATAATCCCTGACCCTTCAGTTCGAATGTGTATTTTATTGTTCAAATTTTAACGTCCATTTCTCTAGTTAACGTCATGCTAAGGATGTACAGCATATAATTAATGAATAGGTAGGTTTGGGTGAACTTTGTAAGTGACTAGCCTTTTTGTTATTACTGTTTTTTCTACAAGTTTTTTTAAACAAATTAGTACTCTTATTTTTTTAACAATACACAGGTCATTATTTTACAATAATAACAAAATCGGTGCCAATATTAATTAACCAGAACTCCAATATTTCTGGATAAATAAAACCGAAGCCTGTCAGAGAGGCGGTGACAATTTACAGTTGTAAACACGCGGCAGACGTCTAGACGCCTGCACACATACGCGAATAAATCTCTACCGTCGCCCTTAAATTTTAAGTGACGAAGTTTAGGGGTTGTGAAAGAGACTACCTATATATATATATATATATGTATATGAGGCTAAGTTAGAGAATGGATTAATTAAAATCTAATTAATATCTTGAAAAGTTAAAGCGAAACAGGTGTGTCAGGCGTTGGGTGTAGAGGTCTATAATATGTACCTACATCGGTTTGGTGGCATGATAATGTAATAAATGTATGTACTCCTGATGCTCCTGAAGATATCTAAAAGTTCCAAAGTTCATGAAGACGGAGATACAATGACGAAGAACACTTGTAGGTTTTTCTTTGAGTTACTATTAAAGCCAAGTGTGGCGCCCCGAACTCGTGTTGTACTGTACGTGTATATAATACAAACAGTTTAATATACTCAATGTTAATATAATACAAGTGATTTATGACCCGGGTAAATATAATCCAAGTCGTTTAATGTATTCAGTGTATATTATATTACACGTGATCTAATATAATCCGTATATATATTGCAAGTTGTATTACGTACCAAGTGTATTAGTACATGTGCTTTAATGTACTCAGTGTGTGTAATACAAGTGGTTTAATCTATTTATTGTGTAGAATACAAATGTCTTTAAGTACTCATTGCACCACACGTGGAAATAATTGAAGTGGAATTCAATAATTTTCAATTGCAAAGAAAAAACATACTATAGTATAAATGAATTATTTTTATAATAATTATTATATATAAATTTTATAATAAATTTTATAATATAACAAAAAAAAAACAACGAAAATAATTAATGTCACATAGTAGTATAATGTATAAATGAATACATTTTTATAAGTTTAATGTAATATGGAGTAGGTAAATTATGGACACAGATTTATAATTTTGATGTGTTACTCTTCCATTATACATGGTTATTTATAAAATACTAATAACCTCGCAGGACGATATTACTAATATCATGAACAACAACTTTTGTAGTCAAGGGCACATCAAGCGTGAAACTTTCTACTTTGGACCGTTCTTATTTCGTGCTCTTGACCCTGTACCATGACTTTTACAAAAATGAACATTTTTTCTTTGTTATAATAATTATAACAAACAAGTGGAGTAACTTTACAAAACATGATTGAATATCATTGTAGCGAATCACAGCAGTAGCTACAAATCGATTTTGTGTGTATATTTTATACATATCTGTGGCTCTAGTAAAAGGGCTACAAATCAAAAAGTCAACTTTACAAGGAGACGCGAAAAATATGAATGATAAATATGAATAAATGATATTAAGCGTTAAGTGTTTTTCGCGATTCCTTGTAAAGTTGGCTTTTTTTACTTATACCCCTTTTCACTAGAGCCACAGATATGTATAATCTTTTAAATGTTAGCTTTATATTTACATTCTAAAATGTACTTGTTTTTGGCGCCTTCTTTTGTTATTGTCTGTGTAAAGTTGGTTGATAGCTGTGCGTTGTTTGTTAAATAAATAGTAAGTACATTTTCTTTGGTCTTGTTCACATTTCATAGCGCCCGAACCCCATTGATACAGTCCGTGATAATCATGATATTAAAACATCGCGACTTTCAATAAATTTAGAAATTACAATAAACTTTGAAGTTGTACTACCCCTCTGCGCTCCAGCGTTTTCCACAGAGTTATCATCGTTTAGAGCGATCTATTTAAATATTTTTGTACTAAAGTAAAATTTCATGAATTATTAAAAGCATGCAACAAAAGTTGTTGTAGTTATATAGTCTTGGGAGGTTGTTACTATTTTACAAATGACCCTGTATTAATACATGTAATAAATGTGTGAAACAGCATTCTGTAAAAATTACTTCATTGTGTTTACCACGTTTAAAAGTGAATTGTATTGGTTTGATGTATTCAATATTAAAACGTCTATAGTGTAATTTTATGATTTTATAGAGCTCTATTCAGTGGTTGATTTGGTCTGATTAGATTTGTGATGTAGACGAGGTCAACGGCCCGTGTTTCGCCTTCGCCTCCATGGATGCGACTGCAAATATTTTCGTACCTACGCTATTGTAAAAGTTTAGCTAGGATCTTCGTTGATCTTCCAACAAGTCTAAATAGACAGTTATACTTGACTGTAATATAATATTTTTGGCTGGAAGGTTATATTGAGTTTTGAAAACGATAAACTATTTTTTTTCTCGGAAAACTATGTCGTAAAAATAAGTTTCTCACTTATTATTTACATTAAATTTTTTATTATAGGTTTTGATTTTAATAAAATATATTTATTTTGTGCAGGAAAAGAACTCGTTCCTGAATTATAACGTGTCTTGCATCCTAACGCTGCCGCCGTACCAGAGACAGGGCTACGGTAGACTGCTTATTGATTTCAGTAAGTACTCCTTGCCTATTATCTTATTTGTAAGTATTAAGTGTAAGGTATGGTCAATGCTGGAGGTCTCAACTGCTTCACCCAATAAAATAACAAAAGCTTTCTCTTTCGTTGTTTTTAATTAACAGAAATAGATTTGACATCGATGACTATTATTCGAACAAACAGTTCGAACCGACAATCTTTGTAACTCTAGTGCTGCCGCCGTGTAGCAATGACAAGGGCATTGCCGTATCGCAATGACAAGGGCCCAATCAGTGTAAAATCAACAACATGTGTCTGTCTCTACACAGGACGTTTACGAAACGGGATCAAAATTATATGATACAAAATATGCACACAAAAGTATATGACACAAAAATATATGACAAACTTGGTTAGTCGGTTAGCACTATTGGCATTAGATGAGGCGATCCGGTGTCTGATTCCTTTTCCAAATTTGTTCTGATCTAGGTGTTCTGGGTAGTGCCCGGGAGTGAATCTCGTTGCTCCGGTACTTGTTGTACGGGGAAATCCCGACTTTGAAATGAAGTAACAGGATGTGGATGTCGAGCAGTCTAAATTATTTATTTGCAAACTTTACAGTTTTTTAAATCCGATTTATATTCTTAAATCACAAAACTTACTTAGCCATTTACAACGTTTGTTATTTAAACAATTCATTTAAAGTTACATTGAATTTCTAATAAATTAAGCCAAAGTGAAGTTACCGAAAAGAATTATTAATACAATGAAATCAACAAAATTATAATAAATAACAATAACATATGATTATTTAATTTAATTATCTTGACTGAATTGACTTTATAAAAATAATAAACGATTTCTTAGGTTTTCGCGATTGTTACACATAGGAAATGAAACTATTTTTCCGGATTTAAATCGCGTATATTTGTTTTTCAAACAAACCGACGTTTCGAGCCCTTTACATTTAAATTGATTTAAATCCGAAAAATAGTTTCATTTCCTATAATAAACGATTGTTTGGCATTTTGTTTTGTTTTCTAAGCTTAAGTTTTTTCTTTGAAAAATATATTTTAGATATTAAAGAAATGTTCGGGATTCGTATGAAATAGGATTTTATAAAGCGAACTTCCTTGGAGATTTTTTAAAATTTAGTTGAAGAAAATTTCTTGTCTGTTTGTCTTTAATGGTGTATATCTTATTAACGAGTAAATTACAAGACATATAATACAAACACATACATAGGTTGTTACAACAACGTTGTGACATTTCAAGGGCTGACTCTACGAATGATACTGAATATGCTTGTCTAAGAGGCACTCATATCCAATTCCCGAAAATTTTCCACACGAATTCTCAGAACAGCTAAACGCGTTCTGTATAGGTAGAAGAAATAAATGCACGACATGGACATGGGTTCTGCTGAAAAAAACTGTTCAGTGTCATAAATAAAGCAACCCTATGAAATTCCAAAAGGTATTTTTCTAACAAGCTGTATTTACCTTTGTGGCCACCCCTCCGTGAATGTATTCGTATAATAATGAAGAGGTCGCCATATCGCCACCCCACGTCAAACACTGAATACTTTGATACGTCGAAATTTATTTAAACCTGCAATCGGATTCCCACTTCGATTAAATTGCAAAAGTAATAGGCTGTTTGAAAAAATGTTAGCAATTACAAGTTTCATAGAAAATAAAGTCATTGTGTTGTTCTTTCATAAACAACTGAGTCTCAATACCATAGCGGTCAGGACTTCAGAGGCCTCAGGTACATATGTACACCAACAGTTTCTTGTATTTATGAGTACAGTCTTTAAAGTTTTAATTTGCCTTTTACTGTGTGTTTTTTCACCTAAAGACCAGTTTTTATCATTACAGAGTTTAACTCCTATTCGTACTTAAACGACAATACACCCACAAACACTATTATGTCGCCTGTTCAAATGTAAAAGAATCTAAATAGAGATTTAAATAAATTGGAATAGTTGTATCCACAATCTTATTAACATTACAGCAGTGGAAACTATCGCAGACAACAATAGCGTTAATCCGAGAGCGGGCAATTATTTAGAGAGTCACCTCCGCCGCTCCAGACTGCACGATGGTAATGGCTCGACTGAAAATAAATAAACAGTTGTTCAAAATAACGTGCTTGTAAAATGGTATCACTCGTACTTTGTCGCTTATGAAAACGTTTGATTGCGAGAAAAAAATTTATATGTGACATTTTTCGCATAAGTGCGAAGGCACAATGGCAAAATGTATGAACGTTTGCTTCTAATTTTTTTAATTGCTGAATTTAAATTACTTGGCCAATTTTTATGAATGCTGTAAGGCGATGATTCTCAAAGTGATCGGTACAGACCCCCAGGGCTTCAGCCTGAGAGGTGTCCAGGGATGCAAAAAAAAATTGGGGCTGCAAGAGATGTAAATTGGGGTCCACGAGAGTGGATCTCATTTAGTCAGGTCGTAACCAAGTATAATATAATTTTTTTATTGTTATTTTTTCATTAGTCCACAAAGTCTGCCGATATTATGGAGTATATACGGGTGAAAGCTAATGCTACCCTGAGGGTCGAGCAGTTGGGGTCCCGCCGCAATGTGAATTTTAATTCATTTGTGGTGAGAGTATCAACTCAACATCTGTCGACCTTCATGAAGAATAAGTTTTGGCCGAAGGGTGTCATATACCGACGTTTCCGAGTTCGGCTATCGGACACCCACGTGGCGTCACACGTCGCAGACAATGCGTGTAAATAATAATTGTATTGTATTATATTATTATGGACGTTAGTCTATAAAATATTTATGGGTCTTTGTAAACTGAATACAAATAAATAAGTAAAAATTGTGAGACTTTAAATTCATAGGTATGTATTTTTAGGTTTCTCACTCTACAATTGAACCCATCTAAGTCTTAGAGGATGGAAAAAAATAAAATAAGGAGCTGCCCTATCTACGGAATAAACGTCCCTACTTAAACCAAAAATGTCCACCACAAATGGCGGCTTTTAGTGTTGTACTATAATCATCGATAAGTCAATATCGACATGCAAATGTATGGCTTGAATGTTGAAACTGTTTTTTGTTATGTTTGTAATTTGTATAGTTTACGGTTACCTATCGCAAGCTAGAAACATGATTTATAGAATTTTGTTTCTCCGAAAACCTTTACACTTTTATTGAATAGATTTTGTTTCATTTGTCCGAAAACATTTTACGGTTTTTTTCATTACACCGTTTAATGTTTCACTATTTTGACATATTGACAAGTTATTCTTTTCCCGATTTTTATTTCCCCAACAAATCGTGTGACCAATGTATCTAATTGAATATTTTTGTTTTGTAAAAAATCGATATCCATGATACATTTTTGTTATATTATTTCTTATTACAGGTACTAAAAGTATTAGAACGTGTCGCACAATACAACTCGTCAAATTAAAGCACCTCGCATCTTTAGAAAATATGGTAAACGAGATGCAAGTTAATTTGATCGCGTTGTAGTCACTCGGTTCGCTCGATCGGATCGAGCTGTTTTTTCATATACTAACCTAACCCAAACCTACAGGAAAGGGTCGTACCGTCTAGGTAATGCATACAAATTCGGCTCTGGCACTTCACGCTTGGACGCTGCCACGCCACGCTTGCTTGGCTCACTCGGCTCGTGCGGTTCTTTTATATACTAACCTAATAACCTACAGGAGGGGATCGTACCGTCTAGGTAATGCAAACAAATTCGGCTCTGGCACTCGCCGGCCGCTGCCGCGGCACGCTCGCTGTGGTCTCTCGGCTCGTGCGGTTTTTTCATATACTAGCCTAAACCTACTGGAGGGGGTCGTACAGTCTAGGTAATGCAAACACACAAAAAACAGGCTCTGGTACTCTCCTCGATTCAGTTATAAGTTATTGATTGAATACTCAAGACCATTGTTTTTAAATTACATTTCAGATGACAGCAAAAACAGCACAATGGTATGATGAAAATTACATAAGTGGACTTTCTGTGCACCAGCAAAATACAGTCCAGAATTTTGGAGCTGTATGGTAAAATTGGAATTGTAATTTTGTCGAAACGAAATATCAGCAATCTAAATTATATGGAAAACAGACAGTATAACAAACATGATTAGACCAAACCAACTTCTGCCCAAAGAATACGTACGTGTAATAATAATTCTAACAACAGGTTTTCCGACAAACGATACTTCTGCCGTAAGACATTTCTCTGTTGCAAATTTATACCAAACTATGATATGATAGTAATGAAATTTTGAATTTCGCATTTATAAATGCTCACATATTACGAAAAATAATATAAATCAGGAGATCTCTATGCATTTCCAATCTCAAGATTGATATCAGATTTTTTTTTAATTTAGTTTAAGCTGTTTTGTATTTACGTATTGGTATAGAATCAATATCAGTGATTTTGATTTAGGTTTAGATTTACCTAAATCAAAATCACTTCTATTCAATTTTTGAAATAAATAAAAATACTTATATAATTATACTAACATTATCGATAATCATAAAATCAGATGTAATATTAATAATGGGTAAGTTTATTTGCCTAAAACATGGTATAACAGAAGATGTAGCAAGAGACAGTGTTAGTACAAACATGTTATATTACATAACCATATATTAAACTACCACAACAATAAAAATGTCACAAAAAAAGGTCCCAAGTTACAAATTAAATTCATTCACCTGGCTAACAGCATTTGTTGTCTGCATATTCTGCACTTCAGTTAACATTGTAGAAGTATTTGACTGTACTGTTGGCTGTAGAGTAAACAAGTATTCTTGCAATACATATTGGGCGAGCCTAGGCCAACGCGAGCGCAGCAAATTGATATACAGCTGGTGCTGCTGTCTACACGCTCGACAAGTTTGAAAACGAGCATTACAAACGGCCATTGTAGATGAGTTTTGTGTAGCTGCCCACACGTTGGTCGCTGTCAGTTATCATTTACATTGAAACTATATGGATGACAAGTTATTGCAGCTGCTGCTATTTATTGTTGGCCG